GACTGAGGATGTTACAGTACACTCTAGACCTCAAGGCTGACTGAGGATGTTACATTACTCTATAGACCTCAAGGCTGACTGAGGATGTTACAGTACACTCTAGACCTCAAGGCTGACTGAGGATGTTACATTACACTGTAGACCTCAAGGCTGACTGAGGATGTTACAGTACACTCTCGACCTAAAGGCTGACAGAGGATGTTATAGTACACTCTAGACCTCAAGGCTGACTGAGGATGTTACATTACTCTATAGACCTCAAGGCTGACTGAAGATGTTACAGTACACTCTAGACCTCAAGGTTGACTCAGGATGTTACAGTACACTGAAGACCTAAAATAGGGCTGACAGAGGATGTTACAGTACGCTGTAGACCTAATCTAAGGTTGACTGAGGATGTTACAGTACGCTGTAGACCTAATTTAAGGCTGACCAAGCATGTTACAGTACGCTGTAGACCTAATCTAAGGCTGATCGAGGATGTTACAGTACTCTGTAGACCTAAACTAAGGTTGACAGAGCATGTTACAGTACGCTGTAGTTCTAAACTAAGACTGACTGAGTATGTTACAGTACGCTGTAGACATAATTTAAGGCTGACCAAGCATGTTACAGTACCCTGTAGACCTAAACTAAGGTTGACAGAGGATGTTACAGTACGCCGTAGACCTAATCTAAGGCTGATAGAGGATGTTACAGTACGCTATAGACCTAAACTAAGGCTGACCATGCAAGGATGTGACAGTAAGCTGTAGACCTAATCTAAGGTTGACAGAGGATGTTACAGTACTCTGTAGACCTAAACTAAGGTTGACTGAGGATGTTACAGTACGCTATAGACCTAAACTAAGGCTGACCATGCAAGGATGATACAGTAAGCTGTAGACCTAATCTAAGACTGACAGAGGATGTAACAGTACGCTGTAGACCTAAACTAAGGCTGACCATGCAAGGATGTTACAGTAAGCTGTAGACCTAATCTAAGGTTGACTGAGGATGTAACAGTACGCTGTAGACCTAAACTAAGGTTGACTGAGGATGTAACAGTACGCTGTAGACCTAAACTAAGGTTGACAGAGGATGTTACAGTACGCTGTAGACCTAAACTAAGGCTGACTGAGGATGTTACAGTACGCTGTAGACCTAAACTAAGGCTGACTGAGGATGTTACAGTACGCTGTAGACCTAAACTAAGGTTGACAGAGGATGTTACAGTACACACTAGACCGCAAGGTAGACTGAGGATATTACAGTACACACTAGACCACAAGGTAGACTGAGGATGTTACAGTACGCTGTAGACCTAAACTAAGGCTGACAGAGGATATAGAAAGCTTTTAATCTCTCTGCTGACTGGGGCGGCCAAACACTGAAGACATCATTCACCACCGTTGCTGTCACATGATTTAAACTTAACGTCTGTCCACGGCTTTCAACGAAATGCTGTAGCTTTCATGGCTGACCAGTGTAATGTTATCCCTCATGATTTTCCCCTTGACCATATCGTGTGATGAGACCCTGAAATGGACACTGATTGAAACACGCAGCAGTAACTTTCACCCGTCTATAGCCTACTGTTTAATTGATTTGAACTGTGGCATGCATCTCTGAGGGAGGTGTTCTCTGAGTGCCAACATATTTACCAACAATTAGGCAGGTATTGTTTTATGAAACAAATATGGCAAGTCAATTATATACTGTTTCATAAAACTTGCATTTCACCTGTGAATATACCCGAAATTTACCTGTGTTTTACACATTCTCTCAGATATTTTTGCCATATTAGGTCCAAATCAACCATTAAAAGCTCAGTTTTTACCGTCTTCAGTTGCAGCATCTTTTTACTAAAATTAAGCACTTACAAGGGTTTCCTTATATTCTATTATATTTTATTCAAACTTTGTGTACTCATGATCATTTCAAAATCTTAAAATACTTAAAGTTAGAAAAAATAAGGTAACAAAGTCAGGGAGGGGGACCAGAGCTAGGACATGATTAACTCATTCACCCCCTGAAGACATTTGAACTAATCCAATTCAAAGGTTGGAATAGTTCATTATCAAATTGCAGGGGTGAATGTGTTTAGGGCAGTTTGAGCATGTTTATAGTTGAGGCCTGAAATACTTATCTCTGGGTGGTCATAGCATGGTCAGTTGGTGACAGTTGTGAGATTGAATTGCTGGTATATTTATAAACAAACATTTGACTAGACCATGCTGCTGACCTGGTCTTTCAAAGTTCACGGCTGGCCTGAGGTCAGCCGCACACTTGTACATGCCATCTCTATATACTCCTGTACTGTAGAAACTGTGTGGTAATGTTTGAGAAAAGTTTTGAATACTACATGTACTATGAATACAAGAGAATTTCAAATAAGTCTGACGCATGGCACAGATCCTATCAACTCCATCTTTGTTTAAATATTGCTCATGATGGGAAACTTCAATAATAGTTATTTGGACATTCTTGTGCTAACTGGGTTACGAAATTTTAAGAGGGATTAGCAGCCACCATTCTAATATCTTCTTCAGGTCAGTTTTCTCTTCTCTGATGCATTGGGTCATGTCAACAATAACTGAAACTTACACTAATTGATAAAATCTTCTATGCTATTTTATTTCCGATCAATTTGAAATAGTATAATTGGGTTAAAATTAATGGTAAGAAGTAATTTAAAAACGAACTCTTTTTTCCATGCTTCCTTAGGCTAAATCCTTCAAAAATTAAATTCCCTCCATGCACAGATGATCCAATTAAGCCAAACATGAATAATAAAAACATAAATACCCTGTGGCAGTTCTGGACTAGTAGAATATGCTTGATGGAGTAATAAGTGACTGGAATCTATAGAATACTGCTTTTAAAACATCTGAATTTGAAAACTTCCAAAGCGAAGTAGCATGCATACATGTCAAACCTTTTGATATTTCCGTCGGCGAGATTTTGTAACATGCGCTCAGAATTAAAAGCATAAAAAATATGAGTATATACACCCTCAGTAAATAATTATTAAACACTTCTAAATGGCATCTTCTGAGCTGTTCTTTCAGATGAACCCATCAGATCTTACAAAATAAAAAAAGTTTAGAAAATTCACTGGTTCAAAATGCTCAATTTCAGGGTCCACAATCGGAAGACTCACTCCAAAATAGGGAGAGCTGGCAAGTATGCTAGTGGTTTCCAAATATATGTGTTAAGATGCAAAAAGTAAGAAAATCACTTTGTTTTTGTTAGCTGTAAAAACCGTAAAACTAAAACTGTAAGTATATACTGTAGACAGGGAAGTGTCTAGTCTGTCAACAACAAATGAGCTGGAATTACACTCTGGGATTAATGGCCACTTTTTGATGCGAGTTTGTGTTGTTCTACTGTCGTCTGCAGACAAGTTGACAGATCACCATGTCTCCACCAGTAACTCAGACAAATGTTGTTTTTACTGGTTAAGGTCAACCCCACCAGTCATCAGTAAACACTTTATCAATAAATTATCACGCGTCATATATTGAGCACTATGTATATAATCAAAGTGTTGAGGCTACCTGACTATGGTAGGTTTTTATAGACCGGGGCAGTTCAAAGACTGGACAAGGTCAAAGGTCACAGATTTTAGCAGGTCAAAATCACAGATAAGGGCATTTTAGTTAGTGGGGCATGTAACAAGTCACAGATTGAGAGGGGTCATAGTTCACAGATTGAGAGGGTCACAGGTCACAGATTGAGAGGGGTCACAGGTCACAGATTGAGAGGGGTCACAGGTCACAGATTGATAGGGGACATCACAGATTGGGGCAAATCAGGGAGAGAATAATGCCACAGGCAGACTTGGGCATGTCAGAGGTCAAAAATTGGGGCAAATCAGGAAGACAATCAGGTCACTGGTAGCAGACTTGGGCAGGTCAGAGGTTACAGACTGGGAGAGGTCAATGTCACAGACTGGAGACAATTAGGTCACAGGTCAGACATGGGCAGGTCAGAAGTTACAGACTGGAAGAGGTCAATGTCACAACCTGGAGACAATTAGGTCACAGGTCAGACTTGGGTAGGTCAGAGGTTACAGACTGGGAGAGGTCAATGTCACAAACTGGAGACAATTAGGTCACAGGTCAGACTTAGGCAGGTTAGTAAGGGGAGTAGGGGGCCGGTCACGCAGAGAATCAGGTCACTCAGACTGACTCAGGAAAATGGGAAGATCAGATGTTACAGACTGGGATATTATATCAGAAAGAGAATGAGGTCACTTACTAGGCATGTCAGCCTTCTTGGATTGTTGAAGTTGTATGGGGGTAACTGTTAGTGAACTATCATGATTACCAAGTAAAATAAACAACACACCATTTTGTACTGTATCCTTGTTAAACCTGGCATGCAATTAAACTTGTATCAAATAATTTAAATTAAAACTCAGCATTAATATGTTATATATAGTAAAACGTCATACAAACTTACCCGTCATCGACCTCCATCGCTGAGCTATCTTCACTGTGACCCCCGTTTCCTTGGTTACTGGAACTTTGATTGGCTGGACCTCTGAGGAAGGCATCCAGTTTTTGTTCCTTACTGTCCGTCCTCACCATGTGATGTGCGTAGGTTTTGTCACCGGACCCTGTACAGGGTGAAATCAAAATTCAAAACTGTGATTTTTTTTATTACTTATGAAATTGTTTAATCATGAAGGGTCTCACAAAATACACTAACAGTTATCATGTACAATACAACAAGAGGCGTAGAGGGCCTGTTTCGCTCACCTGAATATATGAGCAAGCTTGGGGAAATATTCTCCATCAATGTAATTTTGCAAATATGTTGAGTCTCCTTAGCTTAAGAATGTTCTAAACTTAACAAGAGGCCCAGAGGGCCTGTATAGCTCACCAGGTTTTACTTCTATTTCCCCTATTGGACCCTACCCCTCAGGTCCCTCAGGGGCCACACCCACCGTTTATACAAAATTGGTTCCCCTTTACCCAAGGATGCTCAACACCAAATATGGACAAAGTAGGATTTTAAAGAATTTGCTATGTTTCCCCTATTGGGTCCTGCCCCTCAGCCCCCAAACAAATTTAGTCAAAATCTACTTGGCCGCTCAGGACTAGTAGCGTTTTAAAGAAAAGTTGACGGACGGACGACGGACGCCACGGACCAGGTGAGCTAATAAAACTTTATACTACTCTATCCCAGCATCCTACTGGTCAAATATCATCACCAAGGACCTTGTGGTAATGTTTTTATATATTTGACCCCTTTGACCTTGGAAGTAGGTCAAGGTAATTTATTTAGGGAAAATTGATAGCATTCCATCCCAAGTTGAGTTCTAGCCAACTATCATTGCCCTGGGCCACATGGTTATTCATAAGTTGTTAATTTTTTTATTATATATATTTCATGCCTGTGACCTTGAAAGAAGGACAATATACAATTATGGTCTTCAGGTCTATCCCTGATTTACTATATGACTGGTGCTAATTCCCAGCCCTGATTGGAGGAACGACGTCATGTGACGAGTCTGTAAATATGTTACAGACTATAAATAGAAAAGTGTTACAGACCTCGACCTATATATAGAAAAGTGTTACAGACCGCTACTAAAAACAGTACGTGGTAATTTCCCAGACAGTAGTTTCTGTGACCTTGAAAGTAGGACAAGGTCATTTATATGAAGAAAATTTATAACACTCTGTCCCAGATAACTACTGGTCAAGTATTATCACCATATGATTTAAATTGATTTAGAAGAAGTTGCTCAAAGGTTTTAACATACTTGACCCATGTGACCTTCACCCTATGTCAAGGTCAATCAGTTGAGAAAACTTAAGTTTTACATGCCTTGCAACCTTGAAAGTATGTCAAGGTCATTTATTTGAGGAAACTTTATATCACTCTGTCCTAGGTACCGACTGACCAAAGTACCATAACTCTCGGCCTCCTGGATATTCAGAAGAAGTTTTTTATTTTATTTTTTAAATATTTGACCCATGTGACCTTAAATTAAGATCATTTTTTTTTTATAGCACTCTGTCCCAGAAACCTACTGACCAAATAGCATGGCCTTTGAATTCTTGAGAAGAAGTCGTTCAAATATAAGGTTGATGGATGATGGACAACACACTATGCCATAAGCCCAACTGGCACTTGCGTAGTTGAGTTAACAGAATGTAGACAAAGACGATTCAAGGTTTTGCACTAAATGACCCCCACCCTTAGTCTGGGGGTCAGCCTCCTATAGGTTTCTTTACTTTGTGACCCCTTATGGTCGCCCCTCAGACCACTGGGGAGTCAGCCTCCTATAGGTTTTCTTTACTTTGTGACCCCTTATGGTCGCCCCTCAGACCACTGGAGAGTCAGCCTCCTATAGGTTTCTTTACTTTGTGACTCCTTATGGTCGCCCCCACAGATCACTGGGGAGTCAGCCTCCTATAGGTTTCTTTACTTTGTGACCCCTTATGGCCGCCCCTCAGCCCACTGGGGGTCAGCCTCTCTGATAGATTCTTATCCTTGATTACAACAGCACCTTTAGTCTGTTTTAGAGAATGTATCATGATTCTCGTCATCTAAGAATTGTTTTATGAAATAATGTAATGGTGAAAATCTACCTGTCAGTTTTAGAGGAGACGTCGTTTGAAAGTTTTTCACTATTATAACTTATGGCCCTGAGCCCCTTAGTTCCTTGGAGGGGTCAGGACTTATTCCCCTGGAGGGGTAAGCCCTTTATAGATTTTAATCCCAACCACAGGCTGACGATCATCATCACATTTCAGCAAAATTGGAGATGGTTCCTGAGAAGTTGATTGTATGATTGTTTACAGACTTGGCAAAAGGCAGGATGGACAACAAATTAAAGGACAAAAGACAAAATGACCATATAATCACAAAAGATCACTTGAGCAATTCAGGGGTCCTAAACAGTTGACAAATGAAGGGTGCTCCTGCACACCATAAGCTCACTAGCACTTCCTGTCAGGTAAGTTATCTTATTAGTTTACGTGCAACAGACAGACAAACCAGGTGAGCTAACTCCAAACTTTAAGGACAACAGACGAAGGATGACGACGACGCCAGACACTGTGAGACCAGGAAGGGGTGGGAGGGGTGGGATGGGTGTAGGGCAGCACGATCGTGAATTCAGACCTAATGCTTCTAAGATCAATAGACAGGAAGAATGAGCTACATTATTCATTGAGTACTAATCAATTTACATACATACAGTTCAAACTTGACTATAAATAACGGTATACGAGATTATAAAGATCAGGCTAGTTAACCTGAAGTGTTAAATAAATACAAACCCGCCCACTGACGACAACATGCAGGGGGTAAAAATACCATCATTTCTAAAAACAATCAATGAAGCTTTTATTTCACAAACCTAGAATATCATTCTTTATTTTACTCAACAGTTTTTATGGACCTTGGGCGCCTTTATTTGCGTGTCGTGCCATTGTCAGCTGTCTTACAATGCTGTACATTTACAGACATTAAGAAACTGTGACTGGTACAAACACTCGTGTGACACAAGTGGGCTTTACAGTATCATATTTATTTCATTTAAAATTTTGAATTTGAATTTTTATTTTTACTTAATTGATACTGTTTCGTATAACATCATAAAGATCTGGAGGATAAATGATGAATTTGTCTCATTGAGTATTAATGTATCTCTACAATGAACCATTATCTTATATCAACCCATCTTTTAGCTCATTCTATACTGCCTATCACTTATCTAACTCTGTATTGAATAACCATTTCTGTGGTATTTTATCAAACAAAAGGCCCATGGGGTCTGAAGATGCTCACCTGTTTTAAGTGGAAACATTTTAGTAATACATTTGAGCAGGTTATACTTGCCAAATATCGTGACTACAGATCTAAAGATGTTTCACTTCTTAAGAAGAAGTCATTTTGATGTTTTAAAAAACTTGACTTTTGTAAACTTGAAGATTTGTCAAGGTAATTTATGTTTGTAAAAAGATGTTATTTTAGCATCTTGATAAATTGGACCCCTAACAGCCTTGTGGACAATGCTAGATCCATTTCGTGAATTGAAAGAATCTTGATCTTGATATTTGACTGCTGTAACATTTTCATAAAATATGTCACATGCCATGCAAACACAAAATGTACTGTACTGGCCAAATATCTGACTCTAAGCTTTGTAGTTCTTAAGAAGAAGGCATTTCAGCTATATAACAAATTTGACCTCTGTGAACTTGATCATTAAGTCAAGCTCATTTTGTTTCAATTAAAATCTTTTTGATACTTCATGCCAGCAAGATGCAAGATAAATATTGATGGAGAGGACTTATGTAGGCTTATCTGTTGTCCAATTCCTTCGTTATTGGACAAAAAAAAAAGTTGAAATGAAATGAAAGATGACTATAATAATGCAAGGCTCATTTTTGGTTCTGCCTTTAAACGCTTCTTGAGAATTGTAACAAATTTGACCCCTGTCACTCTAAAGACGGGGTTGAGGTCTTTTCTGTTTGAAAACTTGTAGTACTTCATTACGTCAGCCATCTACTGGCCAAATGTCATGACTCTTGGCTGTTAACCAATTGGATCAATTTATTGAAAATTGATTATGTTTAGCTTCAAATCTTTGTAGACCATAAACTATGGGTATTTCACAATAAATATAACAAGAGGCCCATGGGCCTTAACGGTCACCTGATATATTTATACAGAGAGTTGATTTTGTTTTTAACATGTACAGAAATATTATTTAAAGTGACAAAAAACAACAAGAGGCCCATGGGCCTTAACGGTCACCTGATATATTTATACAGAGAGTTGATTTCGTTTTTAACATGAACAGAAATATTATTCAAAGTGACAAAAACAATAAAACCACCTTATTCAATATCAAGCATACAGATTTCAGACTAAAAAGGATTTGAAACTAGCACCTCTGATTCTAAACAAGGAAAATGAAGAAATTTTAGCACACTGACTCCCTTGAGCCCCACCCTACAGCCCTTGGGGGTAGGGCTGGCTCAAAATTTTCAAAGTATCAAACTGTCAACTCAAGGTTATAATTCCAATCAAGTTATTAACATGTAATATTCAAAGTATCATTTGCCATTATAAACCATAATAAAT